ATGATGGTGAAAAGTCTAACAAGTGAAGAACGGCCGAAAACTCGACGAACTGATTCATTTTCGCCATAAATGGCTTATGGGTTCTTATCCTCAAAATCATTGTCGACTATTGATTAATATTGAAATTTATGGTCACTTTGTTGGCAGTTGAAGAATTTTGAATTTCCTTAGTAAGACATTGTTGATTGTAGATCGAATAATGTACGAAACATTCAAGTTAGTATGCGTATACTCTGGTTGTTGATTGATTGTTTTTGTTATTTTTGATGTTGATTGAAGATTTTCGTTTAAATGTTATTTTATAAAATTTTTTTTTTTATATATATTTTATAAAGTTTTACATTAAATAAGCGTGATACATTACAATTATATAATTTCATATCTTAGAATTATTATAAGCTTAAATTTTTAAAAGGAATTTTCAGGTTATTCCAAGTATAACTTATAGTCTACATACAAAAAAAATTTTTTTTTTTTTGTATATTTGACACAAATACATACATATTATTATTAAAAGTAATATTATAGTTGCCCAAAAGTTAATACTATATGTGTAATTGTATTGGCATATTCTTTTCTGTGGTCTTAGAGAATATTACANATCTAGGGGGTTGGTCGTTGTCAAGTCCGTTCCAGGTTCCAAGCTGTCCATTGCCAATACCCTCCCGGCTATTTCACCGGTGGGAGTGGCTTGGTCACCACCACTCCCTGCAGTCGCAGTACCAACCCCGTGGTTGGCTGCAGGAGCCTGCCTCAACACTCCTGCATTTGTCGTGTATTCGTTTGATAACGACACCTGGTGGGTACACCCCCCACCAACCGCCGGCACTGGGGCATCCGAATCCCCTGATGCAGTAACCTTTACTCCGTTTTGTGCCATTGTCATTTGGTAAATGATTTTGTGAGGGGGTTGCCCTCATAGCCAGTCCCTCCGGCCAGTGAGTGGCTAACTTCACTGGTTGCGTAGTTGTTTATCTCCGTTCGCACCCAAACGCTACCGCTTATTCGTCCATATAGGCTTATTTCACGGCTATCCTGTATATCTACAGGATTAACAAGCGTTTGGGTGGCTCGTTGTCCGCGACCGCTTATTCGTCAGTCCAAATGAATGGACTGCTTATTTCGCGGCTAACCTGCATATCTGCAGGCCGTTCCTCTATCCGCAACCTGAGGACGCGCCCGGCGATGCTATCGGGTATAGATAAATCAATGTGTGTATCATATTGCATTTCACATTTTAAAGTAATTAGATTGGTTTTTAGCTCGAACGCGATATCGAGTTTTGACGTTACGTTTGTTAGAAAATAATCTATATGAATTAACTCATAACAGTCCGTCGGAATTACAATCTCATATATACTACCATCTTCTCTGTCAAAACATATTTTATTTTTACCTATTCTATTTTTTGTTTGGAATAGAGTTGTTGGTTTCTAAATTTAAAAGACATATTTTTGTAATTTTTACATTTGTAGAAGCGGAAAAAACACACATTCCAGATCCGATGAATAACCGTTCAGTGAAATAGACTTCATAGTGATGCGTTTACAAGAAACCTCAAACAGAGTTGAACACAATTTTATAAATTATATTTTTGATAAATGTCGTAATTGTAATATATATTACACCCTTTTATAAAGTTTTTTATTTCGATGGGTGGTTTTCAATTTTCAAAACTATCAAAATAATTTACATTTTTTCCGAATTTTCTAAAGCAAATCCAATGCGTTCCATCGTTATTAACACTATTCAAATTTATAACCATGGACTCTACGTGCTTACAACGTTTCGGCAAATTATCTCTGCAATAATAGCCTCTGAAGTGAGGTATTTTCAGTAATTTTGCATACTTTATAACCTCATAATTATGTATAGCGTTATCGGGTAACTTTATTTTTTGAATAAGATTTTTTTTTCTCTCTCGATGCTAATATTACTTCGTCCTTTATAAGGTTTTAAATACATACCCCCTCCTTCTTTATAGGGTTTCAAATACATTCCATTACACTGTTTTTTATTGGTTTTAAATTCGTGTGCCGTTTTTATTATATTCGAAATTCCGCCTGCTAAACCTCCTAAAACGCTCAAATCCGAAAATAGTGTAATCAGAAGTAAAACACAGCCATACTTAGGTGTTGGAATGATTCTGGACAACGATAGTCGTTTAATTTTTTTATTCCTGTCTAGTTCATTTTTAGCGGCTATTAGAGTTTTATTAATTGTTTTACGTTACTACCACTTGTCGTGTATTCTACACATTAAATTAAAAAAAAAATTTACCAGCAATAAGAGGATTTTCTTCAATTATTACATTGAAATTTTACTGATAAGACGATAAATGCATTTCCAGAAGCATCTAATTTATGACATCATTTAGCAGCCCTACACCTTTACTGTTCTTCATTGCTCGAGTAGATTTCATCGTGTGCGACAACTATTGAAAATATTCAATTATATATTTTGTTTTTATTTTTATAAATTAACAACATGCAAATTTTAGGACAAATACACAAACTCTTAGTCCATAATGTAGATTTACCCCGAACAATTTGCTCGGCATTTAAGCAACACGGATTTTTATTTCCGAATTTTTTACTATTTAATATTAGCTTCGATGCGAAGATGAGAAGGTATTAATTTTACCATGATGAAACCTTAGATATTTCCCTTTCATTTGATATACTTTTTTTTTTAATCTAACACTTAACCTGCTCATAGGGGGGGATTTAAAATAACAATATTTTTACAAAAATTAACTTTTTCAACTTAACTTTTGAAATTGTTCCGAAAATACTGTGTCCTTTAAACTTATATCAAATTAAAGCTTATGTCATGAACTATAAATGAAAAAAAAAATTTGTCCCGACGACCTATCTTCTGTGCAAATAGCTGTCGTGGTTAAAAACATGCTATTTTTGTGTTACAATTTTTTCCTTTCTTCTAAAGGAAAATGGCCGTCAAATTTAACGAAAATGTTATTTTTATGTAAAAATCACTGTTTAACATAAAATATTTTGACATTTAAAATTGCCATAACTTTTTGAAAAATGATCAAATTAAAATTATTTTTTTTCTGTATTGAAACCTTAGATGTTTTTCTTTAATTTGATATAATTTTTTTGAAAATCTGACTCTAAACACACAAGTTAAGCTTTTTCAATGTAATTTTTGAATATGTTCCGGAAATATTGATACTTTTATTTAATCTTAAATTAAAGTATATATTATATACTTTAATATAAAAAAAAAAATTTTAAATATAGATTTTCTTCTTGGTGAAAATGACTACCGTATTCAAAAATATGCTATTATTGTGTTAAAATTCTGTGTTTTGTATTTTATTTTATTTAAAAATATCTTACCAGGGGAATACACTGACTTTCATGAACATTATATAATTTAATTGACATAGAATAAAGTTAATAAGAAAATAAGAAGTTAAACTTATTTAAATTTTTTTTACTTTTTTAAGTCAAAAAAGTAACTTTAAAATTTGAATTAGATTAAATTGCCAATTTTATTAATAGACGAAAGCGACGACCAGTTGTCAAATCGGTAACATTTGTGTCTTTCACGGTTAGAATACAAAGAAAAAATGTTCAAATCATTTCATTTTTATCTCATTTATATTCATTAACTTCAATAAATATCAAGGATCCCATCACTGTAGTCTCTCCTCATGAGAAGAAATTTCTTATTTATGTTAATATTATTTTACTATTTGTTTTTTTTTGTGGCTGCGATTTATTTTTCCAACCCTCACTTAACCTACTTTTTTGAACGATATGTCAAATGATTACAATTCGTATTTAGTTGAAGATATTGCCCTCAAAAATTGAAAACAAATCCCTTAATTAAATAAAAGGTAGCTTAACCAGCTTTATGCATACAAAAAATTGAAATCATTAATTTCTAATATTTTTAAAGTATTTATTGTCGAATTAGATTTAATATGATAAAAATATTCAACTACAAAAGTAAATAATTTTACTTTGTAATTTTTTAACTCTATTTTCGTGTGCTACTACCAGTCTATAACATTCCTAATTTTTTTGAAACATATTCTTATATAAATCATAAATCTAAAAAAAAATTTTTTAGTTTCACCTTAATATAACAATGGATTTTTACAATTATAATCAAATATTATAATACACTCAATTGAATAGATCTTTTTAATAATTTTTTTTATTGGTTTTTTTAGTAAAAGTGAATCATTAAAATTAATTCAGTTCTGCATATTTCAATTGTCGAATCCTTTTAAACACCAAAAGTTAATTATAAATGATTACTATGATTTCTACTTAAGTGATTCATCTATCTATTATGATGAAAATGCTTAAAATTCAGTTTTTCTGATAAATTTACCGTAAATAGTAATTATAAAATTTGCTGACTACTATAATCTTAATTATATCATTTTTTACTATTTAATGATGTAAATTTCAAACTTACAAGTTGAGCTAAAAGTTATAGTGTAAATTCATTTTTTTTTTATTATAAACTTTCACAAAAACAAATAGGTAAAAATAATTAATTTAAACATATTAAAAATCATATATAATTAAAAAATTATATATTATATTTTTGAATCTAAGAATTACTAATCTGGATATAATTAAGGAAATAGGTAAATTGATGTAAATTGAAATAGGTAAATTGATGTTACTTTTGTAATTATCCACCAATTTCTTAGAATTAAACACTATCTACAGATTTTTATCGAAGCGTTTCTTATGATAGTGATTTTAATCACTGTCAGATTAAATCTATACTGGACCTAACTGTGCCACGTCCCAACTATGCTGCGACTCCACTGTGCTAGGTTTTATTTATTTAAATTCATACATTTATAATTTTATAAAAAAAAAACAAATATTGACGTGACTAATTATACTAAGGAAACGATAATATAGAAAACATAGTACTTAATAAATATATTTGAAACAAAGATAACATACAAATAATTTTTAATAATTCATATTTATTGTAAAATCTATATCTAATCAAAATAAAAAAATTAATCAATACTACATATATAAGTCTATATTAGTTTTAAAAATAAATTTTAGTCTACCATTCCTTTATTTACAATTTTTTTAGTTGCCAGTAGTACCGAGAAAGAAAATTTGAAAAACTAAAAAAAAGGAAAAAACTAGATTAATAGAATACTTAATTTGTATATTATATACTTGAATAAGACTAGGAATTATATGCATTTATAAATTTTGTTAAATCCATTTCAATACACATTTAAGGGCCTAAGTTAATTAGACTATATCATAGAAATATATATAGCAACATATAAATATTTGTTTAGAGGAGTAAACCACTTAATTTTCAAAAAACTATAACCTCGGTAACATACATTACTAAGTTTTTAAGTCAATTAATTCAAATTTGTACTGGTAGTTAGTATGTTTAGATTAATTTAACAAAATTTATAATTTTACAAAGTTTTTGGACAAAATAATACTTTTCTAGAGTTCGTAATTTTGATGATAACATTGATGTAATAATATATATATTAATAAAAACAATTAATAAAAATATTTCTTGACAAGTCAGATATTATAAGGATCCATTTATATTTAAAAATTAATCATGACTTTAATTTAAAACATAAGTTTGTTTAAAAAAAATGTATACATACCCTTGCATACGTTTCATTGTTCATGCATACTGAAGGTTGAAATATGCATTTACATCTGAGTGGTGTATACGACCCTAATAATAAAATCAGCAAATTTTGTTTTATAGTTAAAATTGACGGGTTAAGAATATAAATTCCAAAAGGTTCTTTTCCAATTTTAGTTGACTCCTAACAAATTATATACATTGTTAATTTAAGGTTTCGGCTATAGTTTCAAAAATATAATTATTTTGTAAATTCATAGACTTACTTCTTCTAAACTAGATCCTACATTACATGATATATATAATGTTATCAAACACAACAATAAATGAGTCATAGGTAGATATTTCATCATTAAAGGCATATTTGGAATCTAAAAAGATTATTTTGTTATATAAGACAATACTATTTTTGTATTTTAACACTACTGTATTCAAAAATAAATTGCAACGGTGTACAATAAAATATTATTTTCTAATGATTACTTGTAATAAAAAAAATGTTGCTCTATGTCATATATGTTTTATTTCAATAAATGGTGGCAACATAAATATTTAAAAATTATATAAAATAGAAAATGGAATATTAATAATCGATAATAACTATTGAACTGTTATTTCGGCAGATATTAATAATTTAATGTATTAGATGTGAGAAAATGATATTGTTATTTTTTTTTCAAGGTTTCAATACAAAAAAATATTATTTTTATTTGTTCATATTTGAAAAAGTTATGGCAGTGTTAAGTACAAAANCAAAAAAATATTATTTTTATTTGTTCATTTTTGAAAAAGTTATGGCAGTTTTAAGTACAAAAAACATCCCGATAAAATGTAATTTTTATCGCAAACATTACATTTTTTTTTAAATTTTCGACAGCCATTTGCACATAGAAGATAAGATGTCGGGACAAATTTTTTTTTTTCATTTGATAGTATATCACATATCCTTTGATTTGATATATGTTTAAAGGACACAGTATTTCCGAAACATTTTCAAAAGTTCAGTTGAAAAAGATTTATGTTTTTTACAATAGTTTAAGTTTTGAACGCCCTCTATATAAGGGGAAATTGTCCAATTTTAATAAAAAGTATGTCAAGTGAAAGATGTACTTATAATATATTTAGAAAAAAAAAATTTTTGCTGATATATACATTTTTCAAAAAGTTATAGCATTTTTAAGTTGAAAATTTAAAATCGAAAATCGAAAATTTTAACACAAAAATAGTGTTTTTTTAACTACGGCAGCCGTTTAAATGTAGAAAAAAAAGTGTCGGGACAAATTTTTTTTTTTCATTTTGTAGTACATAAAATAAGCTTTAATTTGATATATGTTTAAAGGACGCAGTATTTCCGGAACATTTTCAAAAATTAAGTTGAAAAAGTTATTTTTTGTAAAAAAGTTACTATTTTAAATCCTCCCAGTGAGCAGAATAAGTGTTAGATTTTCAAAAAAAATTATATCAAATGAAAGGGAAATATCTAAGGTTTCAATACAAAAAAATATTATTTTTATTTGTTCATTTTTGAAAAAGTTATGGCAGTTTTAAGTACAAAAAACATCCCGATAAAATGTAATTTTTATCGCAAACATTACATTTTTTTTTAAATTTTCGACAGCCATTTGCACATAGAAGATAAGATGTCGGGACAAATTTTTTTTTTTCATTTGATAGTATATAACATAACCTTTGATTTGATATATGTTTAAAGGACGCAGTATTTCCGGAACATTTTCAAAAGTTCAGTTGAAAAAGATCTATGTTTTTTACAATATTTTAAGTTTTGAACGCCCCCTATATAAGGGGAAATTGTCCAATTTTAATAAAAAGTATGTCAAATGAAAGATGTACTTATAATGTATTTAGAAAAAAAAAATTTGTGCTGATATATACATTTTTCAAAAAGTTATAGCATTTTTAAGTTGAAAATTTAAAATCGAAAATTTTAACACAAAAATAGTGTTTTTTTAACTACGGCATCCGTTTAAATGTAGAAGAAAAAGTGTCGGGACAAATTTTTTTTTTGTCATTTTATAGTACATAAAAAAAGCTTTAATTTGATATATGTTTGAAGGACGCAGTATTTCCGGAACATTTTCAAAAATTAAGTTGAAAAAGTTAATTTTTGTAAAAAAGTTGCCATTTTAAATCCCTCCCAATGAGCAGGTTAAGTAATAGATTTTCAAAAAAATGATATCAAATAAAAGGTAAATATCTAAGGTTTTAGTATAAAAAAAAATTATGTAGATTTGTTGATTTTTAAAAAAGTTATGGAAGTTTTAAGAAAAAAAAAAGGGAAAAAATTTCGAAAATTAGCGATTTTTAAATTTGTAATATTTTTGAATATTTCCTCCATTTGCGGGAAACGAGGGAATTTTTTTCAATTTTTAAGGGTAATGTCTTCAACTAGATACGATTTGTGATCTTTTGACGTATTTTTTAAAAAAAAAAAACACATCATAGTAAAATTAATACCTTCTCCGCTTCGCATCGAAGCTAATATAAATGACACATTTATAAGGTATAAGACATGAATTAAAAAAATACTAAATAATTGATAAATCTAGTAGTATATGAAATTATAAAATACCAAAAAGGATTTACTTAACATAATTATTATTATAAAAGATAACCAATGAATATTAAAAGAATCACCCTGTGTTAGGTTAAATCTATTCATCATAAGACATTACTAACTAGAACATTTTATTTTTAAAGGGCATCCCCTTCTTTATAATATACTTATTAGATTGACATTAAAATTTCTTTTTCAAAATTTGTATAACTTAAAATTAAATAATTTTTACAATTTTATATGTAAAAGGAAGTAAAAAGGGGTCTGAACCATTCCCTCATATAGCATTTGACCAATTATGTAAGCAAATTAATTTTAAAAAAATTGATTTTTTTTAATTTTAAAAATTGTTTATTTATAAAAGACAAGGTGACGGAATTTAGTGTGTTATTTTTTTAACATATAATCATCAATAGCAAATTTTAAAAGTTATGGTAGCTTAAAAAAAATTGTTTAGAATAGACAACTGATTATAAAATATGGTACATTTTTGGTGGATTTCTTTTATTTACAGTGAATGAAGGAAATTTTTTAAGTTATTAGAGGTAATGTCTTTTGTTAAATACGATTTGTGCTAAAATTATTGTCTTCTCAGCTTTTCATTAAGGTTAAAAGTATTCAAAAGTTTTAACTTACGCATATGATCATAACCATTATTGAAATATTTTCAATTATAAAAAATGCCAAAAAAAAAGAAAACACTGGTGAATAAGTATCGCAAATATTATTCCCAACTCTAAAAAATAAAATTATAATTAAAGTTCGAATTAGGCATGAAAAAGTTATTAAAAATAATATTTAAACTATTATTACTTAAATCCAATTTTCAATAGACATTTATTAGAAATCCAATAATAAATAATTTACGAGTTTAAGTTATAGTAATACAAATATAAACATATTAGTTTTTAATGGTCATAATACACCATGCAACTAGAGATTTTTATATAATATTATTTTAGAGAATAGTAAAACTATTTTATCAAAAATGCTAAAAAAGTTTTGCTATTTCCCTACTTGTAACAATTGTATAACTATAACGTAAAAATTTTCCACCCCATCGTATGCATTGAACCGACACCTTCATACTGCAGTAGAAAAAAACAATCACTTATATAGCCAGTTAAAAATTAAATAAATAAAAAATTCAGCACAGGGGGGTCGCGGCACAGTGGTGACGTAGCATAGTTGGATCAAGTATAATGATATCTGACACTGATTAAAATCACTATCAAAAAAAAAAATCTTCGATGAAAATCTTTAGATAGTGTTTAATTTAAAAAAAATTGGTGGACTATTCCAAAAGCTACATGATCTGCTAGTTCCTTATTAATATCTTGATTAAGATAAAGTATGTTGAATGAAAAAGGGATTATTAAAAAATATTATTTCTCATAAAAAAATTGTGTTTATTCATAAACTTTTCAATAAGTTATAGCATAATAAAGTAAAAAATGTAAAATATAAAATCGAGAGTTTTCACACAAAAATAGCATTTGGTAGCCATTTAACCACGAAGACAAGTCCAGAGGTAAAATTTTTTTTTTCCATAATAAAGTATATTACATAACCTTTAATTTAAGATATATATAAAAGTGTCAGACCTTCCGGAACATTTTCAAAAGTTAAGTTTTTGTGAAAAAGTTGTCAATTTAATTCCCCCCCTGTGAGCATGTTAAGTGTCAAATTTACAAAAAAATATATATCAAATGAAAAGTAAAGACATCAAGCATCTATAAAAAAAATTATATTGATTTATGCATTTTTGAAAAAGTTATGGAAGTTTTTAGTAAAAAAAATTGAAAAAATTTTGAAAATTAGCGATTTTTAAATTTGTAATTTTTTTGGAGGTTTCCCCCATTTACGGGGAACGAGGGATTTTTTTTCAATTTTTGAGGGTAATGTCTTCGACAAGATACGATTTGTGATCTTTTGATGTATCGTTGAAAGAAATCGGTTCGGTGAGAGCTGAGAAAAAGTGGTAACAGACAAAAAAAAAAAAAAAAAAAAATACATCATAGTAAAATTAATACCTTCTCCGCTTCGCATCGAAGCTAAAATACATGTACAAATACAAAATATAAAATATAAATATCGAGTATGTGTTTTGCAATGATAATGGTAACATTGTTTCCGAAATATGTATCCGTGACTATTCATTAATTTTTTGTTGTTTTTGAGTTTAATATTTTTTAGTTCTTAAATAAATTATAGTTTTAATTTTATTTAATTAATTAGCTAAAAGTGATCAATTTTTATTATAAGACGAGTCAAATGTTGAGGGGTAGTATTTAGTAAATTATTCTTGAACATGGTTTTACTATTTATATAAATATATATAATGTTCATTAAGTAAAGGAAAGGGATTCTGTTGTGTCCCATTATTTCTTATTACTGAGCTAATTCCTTACTTTGTGGACACTCTGTATAATAAATTTATATCTAATATAATATAAAATTAAATTTATATCTGTGGATCATTTTGTAAGGTTCGGATAATTTTAGAACTATTGAAAAATCGTGATTTTTCGGATGTTTATTGAAAAATAATACTTTGAGTTTTACTGGCTTGTAACATTTAATATTCCGACAAATTAAAAAAAAATAAATAAACACCAGGTTATTTTTAAGTATACAAAATTTGTATATTATTTAACAATATATGTGTTCTTTTCAAATATATTGTTATTATATTGTCTTAACTTGACTAATAATAAAATTATATATATTTAATTGATAATACTTTGAAACCCCTAGATTACGTCTATGAATGCAACCAGAACATTCCAATCAAAATTAACCATAATATAAGAGCATTTACTCTTTACTTATTTACTTTACATACCTTATAATATTTTGATGGATTTTAATACATCTATAAAAAAGAGATAGATCAGCTGTGCACTCAATAGCATAAGATATATTTTTTCTCAAATGAATAAATCCACATTTTATCTGTGATAATGCACCGATATAAAAACAATGAACAGCAACAATTTTTATGTTTGCATATAATATAACTAAAGTTAAAAAAATAGTTTTTAACCAATACTCCAAAACATGACTAGCATCAATAAATGGTATCATCTCTATAGCAGCATGACGTTTAATTCCATCTTGCGGAAAAAGTGTAGTCCAAAATGTAAATAAAGGAATTGACAGTGCTGCAATAATTACTACAAACAAAAGCAACCTATTTGTCAACCTATGATTTATTTTTCAAAATAAATAAATTTGTATAAACAGGGAAATAAACAGTTTATATAAAATACCTATGTCAATATACAATGAAAAGATCTCTAAAGGCATAAACTAAATACACATGAGTATTTAATTCATACCACTAATTTAAGAAGTAGTATCTAGAAGATTTTTATTTCGATTTTTATAATACTTAACCGAATATCACTTTTCATCTTCTTTGTAAAACATTCAATGGGCTGATCATTTTGAAAATTCACTGAGATACATTGTAAATCATTCATTATGTGTTGATTGCGTTTGTAGTTATATCTTTGATACATCGAGTTCAACAATCCAGATAAAGACGAAGCTCCAACGGCAATAGATTTTAATTTATCAAATATTTCGCCTGAATAAAAAACACTACTCGTAGTAGTAATAAACCCAAAAAATAAAATAGCATCTACTATGTATCCATAATATTGATAATATCTGTTTGTTTTTTCAAGGAATAAAGGCATTCCGGCTATTACATTTATTGTTTTTGAGAATTTATTAATATTGTAAAAATATTCATCTGACAAAGGCATTATGACAGTAATAAAGAACTGATTAACGTTTAAAAACTATATTTTTAGGATGCTAAAATTTACAAATAATAAAACGAACTAGGTAGGTTTTGTATTTATATAGTAGTGAGGAACAATATAAAAATTTAATAAATTCTCTCAATATTACAGAAAATACAAATATCATTATTTTATTTTATTTTTCTAATAGTAGGTTTTTCAAATGTTTTTCGAGAAATATAATATTAATAATTTATATGTCTGATAGAATTTATGTTATATATATGTATTGGTATTCGATTATTTAATTATAATATTATGTTACTTACTCAATTAATAAATTTGTTATTCTTAATAATACAGTCAATTTTTTCATTTTTGATACCTAAAGTTATTAAAAATTCAATTGAATGTGACTTCCGTGTATTCTTGTGTAAGTAAATAATATTTTTAAATACTACCGAAAAATAAAATAAACCCTTTCAGTCCCGATAGTTATGATATATACATTACATCATAATTGTTATTATGTACTATTTAAGATTTGAATTAATAAATCAAATGATATGGCAGGTGTTAAAATATAACAATAAGCTACATATATACTTTTAAATTATTAAAAATATACCAATGTAATTTTTTATAAAAAATATATACTAATAATATAAAAGAAACACGAAATAATAAACAAATGTAATAGTAATGTGTTAGTCATAAGGTAATAAATAATGGGTAAATTTATGGAACACGCAGTAGAACATTATAAAATATAGATCATTATTGACGAAAATGTAATAAATTACTACAAAACGATTAATAAAGAAATAATGGAAGCGTTGGTGATCACTTCTTGCCTTTGAAGTGTAATGTAATTACCATCAAATGTAATATAAAAAGTCCAAAATAATGAAAATTTTGGCTCAGATGTTACTCAAATGGTGGTCAGAATGCTCTCACTCGGTCAGTCGCGCTCAAATGCAGTTAGTAGTTCTTAAAGGTTCTTAGTTGCAATCTATCACCATGAGTCAATCTTCAATCACACTTCATTTTTCTTTAATTCATCATAATACGCACAAAAAGTTATCCACCGTGTCCATATTTCATAAGAAAAAGGAACGTTTAATGATTTCAGAGTATTTATTGCAAATATTAAAGTAGGAAAATAATAATCTCACCAAAAATCTATAAAGTTTATTATTAAATTTAAGAGTACATAGTTTAAGTAAAAATCAAGTGATTATCAACAATAAAAAAAATATTTAAAATAAATTTAATAAATCAATAATATTTGTACAGAGTTATTTGGCAGAATTTTGTCTTTGATACGTATCTATTTCAAAAGTTAAGTAAGAGGTCCATACATAGTAACCATACTACTATGGGTAGACACACAATGTGAATCAATCCCACAGTTTACAATTGATTATAGTAAATGTTATATTAATAAATAAAAATTAATTTATTTTTCAAACATTTTTTATATTTCTTACAAACCCTCATACTCATACCCCTAAAAATAATATTATTAAAACAACAAGATAGTAACTCACTCATATCGCACTTCCAACTTTACTTTTATTTTCTTTCTTTTTGAATTACTACACGATTTTTCATTTTTGGTTAATATAATTATGGTAGGCTAAAAAATATTTTTCAGCCTTAAAAAATATTAAGTTTTAGAACAAATTTTACTTAAATGCTGATGATTATACAAAAGTGTACAGAAGGTATGATAGTTTTTCATAATCCCAAGAAAATTGTTATTTAATATTGTCACTAATAAGAAAAAAAATTTGAAAGTTATTTTTTAGTTATTTTCTTAACAAACTGTTGTGATCAGGTTAGTAAATAAATATAATAAGTAACAAAACGATAGTGTCTTTATTACACCGAAGAACAATAATCTTAATTATACCGTTAAGACAATTAAATAAAATATCTTCCGCTGCTACTAAAGGTCAACGTGAAAGATCAAACGGTAATTGATAAATTCAGTCTATATCTGTATTCCAGCGCCCGAGCGACCGGTTCGCACTGCCCGTCGGCCACCGCGCATAGTGCGACCTGTCGTACGTGAAGAGGAAGCTCCGCGATCGCCATCCGGCGGTGTTTCAGTCTCAGAGTGGACTGTATAAATAGGATTACTTTTAACTATTTAACTAATAAGAACGATATAAAACTTAAACTTTTAACTTAGTTTATATTACTTTATTTTGTATACACATGTTGGCGTGCATGTCGTGCCGTCCTTTACAATGACGAGTTCATCGTTCGACTACTGTTGCAGCTGCAACATAATAGTGTGTTGTTAACTTAAAAGTGTGTACTCGGACCGGTTTAATCATTATCACGCGACTACTCCCTACTACTCAAGTAGTAGTGGATATCGCTACTACCGGCCGATCAGCTGTTCACACACTACACACCAAACACAACACATAACCGCAATATAGTATAATACAACATTGTATTGCGTAATAATCAGTATATATACATTTTTGGTTTTCTATTGTTGAATTTTTCATTTCNTTCTATTGTTGAATTTCTCATTTCTTTTTTTTGTGTGAAAACGTAATCTAATTTTTGTAAAAAGAAGAAGTTATTTTAATATCATAGAATTGATAATATACAGTTTAAATAAAAAATATTGTTGCACTAACTGTGACTTCTTTAAAGCTACTAATTGGCTGACAGAAGAACTTATTGTAGTTTGTTGCTACTAATTAGCAAAATTAAGCTAGTCAATTGTGATATTTAAATTTGAGTTACCAAATTGTAGTCTTAAGTTCATTTGTTATTATTGTGATTCGTGTTTTAGTTTTAGGTAGCATCTCTGGCCAGCAGCTCTGCGAATTGTGAGTACCATTGTTATTTATGTATTATTCATTTTTGTTTTCTTTTTCTCAATTTAGCGTAGTTATTATTGAATTAAATTTTGTTTATTATAATTATTGAACTGATTTAGTGCTGTCATTGAAGTTGTAGAGTTATTTTTTGTCATTATTCTGTTATATTTTTAGAGTTCATATTTTCATTATTATTTGTTGAGCCAGAAGGGCTATATTCATCTAGTCAACTCATTTATTAAATTATTATTATTAATTATTATAAAGTTTTTGTTGAGATATTTATTTATTTAGTTAATTAAGTACACACAAAACAATTACACACTAACACATCTGTCACTACATAGATCACTGGTTGCTGCGCAGGCGACCCCTCCCACCTCCAGCGATTCTAGTTACATACATCACACTACGCAGCCTGATCGGTATTGGTGCAATTAGCCGGTTCGGGTACGCACTATAATATTTAGTGCCCCTGGCCCCAACAACTACTATTAGTACAATAAAGTACTAATTGTACTATTAGTACAATAAGGACATACATTTCTCTAGTTCGTTGTTCAACACTTAATTTAAAATGGTTAACTTCTAAAAAATTGTTATTTTGTACGATATTATGTAATTGTGTATTGAATGTACTTATAAACTTAATTATTGTATTAATTGTACATATCCATGTAAAAAGGGCTCAGCCCGTTGAATTAATAAAATAAAATAAAAAATAAAAAGAAACCGGTATGCACCGAACAAATGCGCTTATCATATACCATAATAACATACAAAAGAAAACAAAAAAATGGATCGAACAGGCAGTAACACCGGAAATTCGATGCGACCGCGACATACTCCCCCCCACCAGTCCGACCGGTCGGCCCTACAGTACGCCTAGGGCAGCTGGTTTGGCTGTACGTCTTCCAGCCATTCGATATCTGACATATATATGGGGGGCGCGTTCAGTATGGCGTCGATTCCATCTCCATCTGCTCCACCGTATCGGACTGCATAATATTACATAAGGTCGGATCTGATCGGTCACCTCCCACAAATACGACCGGCAGACTATGGCGACGGTTTCCAATCGTATCTTATACGTCCGAAACCCCATGCCGTCCTCCGACCTCCCTCTCCAAGATCACTCTCTAACGAGGTATTAAACTGGGTGGCATAGTAAATGTCTGAGGTAGGGCCCCAGCGTGTAATAGCGCTGGTTCTTGAACCCTTGCTCGAGCTGGTGATCGTGTCCATTTCGGAGTCCGGTTGGAACGGGGATGGAAACGACCGTTCTCGTCGCGCTCATTGTGGCAATTAGTCACTGGGCGACTTACTGAGGCAGATGGTAGTTCGAGGAGCCGGCTGCCGGGTACGCTGGGCGTGAGACATCATACGTCTCACTCGCGTTCTTCTGCTCGGTGGTCTTTGGCCTTCCACGACTCCTGAGTTGCGTCCACTATCGGCCACTCCCCTCTCGTATATATCCCAGAGTAGCAGGTTGGCATGGATCTCCCATAACTCCACCCGCCTGGCCCTCTCGACCGTCCATTCCATCGGAACGTCGTCGGCTGGTTCCCCCATTAAGGTGGATACTCCTCTCCTTATCTTCCTCATCACGCTCCGCATAATCGCAACGACCTCTGCTGTGGCACCGCGTGATGGACGATTGGGTCGGTTTTGGCCTCCCGATCGCCTGAAGCGTTGTCTTGAGACCGTCGACTGGTGATCTGCCATTCTGTAACCAATCTAAGTCGTTAGAGTACCCCAATTGAGCTACACGTTTAAGGGTCGAAACGTGAAGCTTCAACTTCGCAACTTCAGCTTTACCACTGGATGGCGATCGCGGCGCTTCCCCTTTACATATGGCGCAGGTCGCGCCATATGGAGTGGTCGACGGGCGGCGTGAACCGGTCCAGGCCGCCGTCCACTAACAACATTCATTAACATATTGACTATCGTATCTTCCTACTGTGTACTGATATTGTTTTTATACTCTTTTGTATAACAATTGAAAATATATGCTAACATTAAGTTTAATATGGTGTTATTATTTATTATTATTATTATAATATCAACCTTAACACCTCAACTTTTACCCTTGGTTACATAGACCCCCTCACCTAATCGTTTACCAATTTGTTCTGGACCTAGATATTTTGGTGCAAACCCCGCATAAAATTTCTTTTCAGCGCTAAATAGGGGATGTGCGTAGTAGTAAACCCAATCCCCTTCCATAAAACGATCTAGGTGATTCTTTTTCCGGGTAGATTCCGAGTTCATCGGAGAGTTGCTTTCTCCCCCCGGAAAAATTAATTTTTTCACCGGTGATGTTTTCGCCGGACCCCTCCGATCCTTTTAGTAAAATACCGTTTTTCAGGTGGTATTTACCGAAAATGTACTGTGGTATTTTATTTTTACCTCGGAGTGTCAGAACATTTTCGGCCAAACTTTTGTCTTCGGTTTTCGACTGTTTAATATCCGAAACACTTATATTTTCCGGGTGGTTTCCGTCAAATATTGCCCCTATGTGATCTTCTCCGGAAAAATCATCCGTTGATGGTGGAACATGGAACTTTTCGTCCAATCTTCCCTCATTTACCTGTACTTGATTCACAAGGCTTTTCGACAGCGTATCTGCGGCTTGGTTTTAGACTCCAGGTACATATTGGATGTTGACGTCGAACAATCCCAGTTGTAACGTTCAACGAGTTAGCTTATTGTTGGTGTCCCTGGTGTGATGTAGCCATTTGAGCGCTAAGCTATCGGTAAGTTATGTAAACATACCGGTCACTAAGTATAGGCGGAAAGGATAAACGGCCCATACTATGGCCAAACACTCTTGTTCGACGGCAGAATATCTTGTCTGAGCGAAAGACAGCTTACGTCTTGTATACGACAAAATTCGACGCTCACCTTTATTCTTTTGCTGGGACAGTACAGCGCCTACTCCTACTTTACTTGCGTCCGTTTGTAGAAAAAAACGGTTTTCCTTAGTGTGGAGAACAGAGTTTAGGTGCGGTAGCTAGCCCATCGCCATTTAATTCATTTTGCCAAAAGATCTGTTAACGGTGCAGTAATTTCAGTGTAATTTGAAACAAACTGACTGGTTGGTATAACCACATATCCCGAGAAACTTTTGCAAATATTTTACCTTTTTTGGTTCAGGAAAATCGGCGATTGCGATTAACTTTTCTGGTTCCCCATCAATTCCGGTTGAATCAACAATGTGCCCGAGAAAATTGATCTGTGAAACCTCAAAATTACATTTTTTTGGTTGAACGGTTAACCCGTGTGTTTGTAACCGTTCTATGACTCGTTGTAGGTGATCGAAATGTTCCTCCATACTCAGTGAATACACCACAATGTCATCCAGGTATACAAACACGAATTTACCAACGTATCCACGCATAACTTCGTTCACCAACCGTTGAAAAGTAGCCGGAGCATTTTTAAGGCAGAAGGGTATTACTTTAAATTGGTAGAGACCCATCTTTGTGCGAAACGCGGTGAGTGGTCGTGATGCTGGTGTCAGACCTACTTACCAAAAACCGGACTTTAGGTCGATGGTGCTGAAGACGTTAGCGCCACCCATCCCTCTGACCATGTCATGTAAGTCGGGCATTGAATGTGCGTCGGTTCACACATCGTCGGCCACCGAGCATAGCTTGATCTGACATACGTGAAGAGGAAGCGCCGCGATCGCCATCCGGCAGTAACACCGGAAATGCGATGCGACCGCGACAAAACATTTTGATGAGTCGATTTTAATTTTAGATAAGTGCATATCATGTCACAAGCCTCTTTATACATAGATTAGGTATAAGTCGCAGATGCAGTATACGTATACCTGTACATCCTGCATCCAATCGCACTACATACCAGCCTATGTATTAAAAATGCTTGTAACTCAATGAATTTGTCTTATAATTGTTAAAATCTACGACAATCTACTCAAGATTTCACTCTCCGGGACTTAGTCGATTTTTTAATTAATTTGGACTTGGAATATTTTTCTTTAAAACTAAATGACACTTAGAAATTTTAAAGTGAATTTTGTTTTGGTGAATCTTTTTATTTAATTTAATTTGTTCAATCATTAATAATATTTTATTTTTCTTGCTGTGGAAATAAACATCAAATAATATTTTAAACATTACATTTTTTTTAAATTATTTTATTTTAATAATAAATCCAACCTAACTTTAGATTTTTATTTAATTATAAAAATTTATTGTGAGCTTTTCTTATTGGGTAGCTTGTCTCGTTACTAATGTCTTTGTTTTAACAAACATCGCGCCGGCAGACAGAGTAAAGGTTGCAAGTAAATATTATTCTAGAATTAGGTATATTAGGTTAGAATATATTTGTAAGCCTATGCGTATTGGGTAGCTAGTTTCGTTACTAATGTCTTTGTTTTAATAAACATCGCGCCGGCAGACAGCGTAAAGAAACTTACAAATATATTTTTAGTGTTTAATTTTTGTCTTTGTGATTATTGTGCCGCATCCTTTCAAGGTGCTTTATTTTAGCACCGGGACACATTGGGCCACCACAATTCCGCCTTGATAAATTTTTTACATAGATATAGATATTTCTGAATCTTGTTTTGGCCAGGCCAGAGGAAAATTTAAGAAATATTGGTATCGATCTCTCAATAAAAAAAATATACTCTCTAAAAAAAAAATACTTATTTAATAAA